CCCCCCATAATAAAAGAGATTCCATTTTTAAAATTTTACATAGATATCTTATTTCTCTTTCTGAATCCCAAAATATTAAAATTATCTTATGATGAGACTTCAATATGCGTAACATCTCTTGGAATTCTAATGGCCCATATTATTCCTCCCTTGACCCGACTGAACAATTTTTCCTTAATGAAATTTTCTATTTTTTCCAACTTAAACAGGTAATCCTTTTTCCATCTCGTATTAATTAATAATTTTCTTGATCTTGCTTTTACTTATAATTGTGTTGTATCTACCAGTTACGCTCAGGGGTTCAAATCTGACCATAATGCAAAATGTTTAGATGTCTTATTAAATACCAATAAACAGCAATCTGCCAAATACATTAGTATTCCATTAATATGTAAATTTTCGACTATAAATTCGTATCTTCTATTATCAGGACTTATTATACTGGTTTTACAGATAATATTACAAAGATTAACAGAAAACAATTTTTATTTTATTTCGTATACCTGCTTTCTCCATGTTTCCTGTTCTTTGCATTCTCTGTTTCGCCAGAATTTCGGCTAAATATATTATTAAAAATTTTCTTATTTTCTCTGACATTTTTTATTCTTATTGACATTCTTATTTTCTCTGAAATTTTCTTTTTTCTTATTAATATTTACATATTAATAAGAAAAAAGGACATTGAGGCAATTTAATTAAACAATTTTTTAATAATATATTTAGCTGAAATTCTGGCGAAACAGAGAATGCAAAGAACAGGAAACTTGGAGAAAGCAGGTATACGAAATAAAATAAAAATTGTTTTCTGTTAATCTTTGTAATATTATCTGTAAAACCAGTATAATAAGTCCTGATAATAGAAGATACGAATTTATAGTCGAAAATTTACATATTAATAAGAAAAGAAAAAAGGACATTGAGGCAATTTAATTTTTCTTTTCTTGTTTGATGCAGAAGAATTAGTTCTACTTCGTTTGGATGACATAGTAGAATCTCTCAAGTCTCCGTAGATATAACAAACACAGAAATAGCTACAATTTATTTTGTGTTATTTATGTGTGGATTCCGCGCGACACATCCGAACATGTAAGCTGAACAATAGTGTGGGGGGAGTGAGTAATCAAGGGTTGCGTGGTGCTCAAACAAAAGACAAATCGACAAGATTTGAAAATCGCGTAAGTCGGGGTAGCGTAAGTCGAGGTATTACTGTAATCAAAATATGAATCCAAAAGTATGTGGATTGATGCACTGTCAAAGCTACCAAGAGTTGCCATAATATTGTCAATATTTTTTAGTAAAAAGTGTCAACTCTGAAGAAAAGCATCATCAGAACCAATTTATATCTATATAAAAACTATTAAATTAAACAAAGCAACATTAATCATGTCACTTATTTAGTTTCTCACTTTATCATTAATCATGTCACTTAATATTAACCTTATTTAGTTTCTCACTGATTTCAAGTTTGAAAGTTCTTAATTCAATGAGTTGTTAACCACTCTGCAGTGATTGATGGATATACCTGTCAAGGGCAATCATGTGGCACTGGAGAATGACATCGATATCCGCAAAAAATTACCGTGAAAAAAAATTCACATAAAAAAGAATTATGAGCAATAAAAAAAATTTTTTTTTCTTTACTAGACGTAACTGTTTAAAAAATTTTTTCTGAAATGGAAACGAGACAAATGCTTGGAAAAATTCTTAAAAAATTTCCCACATTTATTCTCCACTACATCGTGATAGTGCCATATCTGACTAACCCTCTCTACAAAGGTTAATCTATTAAAAAGAGAAGTGAAATGAATATAGTTTAAATGTACAAAGAGAACTTTTCAAGAAAGTATTGTATAAAAGTAAATTTAATGTTGATGGGCTTTGGAAATATTATCTGGTACAAAAAATATATGTTATAAGCATCAACTAAATTGTTTTTATCTATATATATAATCAAGATGAGTTGATGATAATAATAATAAGTGCAGAGCCCAAACAGTTAGGAGTTGAAAGTTGAAATTCGGTACACAGTTAATGTACATTCTCATCACATACCCTAAGAAGGGATTTTTTGAACTTCCCTCCAGGGCGAAGTACAGAGTTAAAGATTACCTGAGAGAACTCAGCTTCTACTGTACTATTTTAGATGCCTTTTTTGCAGAAAATCTAACATATTTTCAGATCCTTCTAAAAATTCTCAATGATATTTAGTGTTCTGTCGTATTCAAAGTTGACACGGGGAGTGCATGCGCATAAGTTCACTATGTTTGAACTCTGTCTTAATGTTGAATCATCCATAAGTATAAAATTGAACTTATTTTCGGAATTAAGTAATCCTGAAGAACTCGAAAAGGGTTATGAAAACGTTTATTATTCATCACTTAGTGGTACTACACACCAGTTAGTGGTTGCAGTGAGTCTTAATTATCGTTATTCTGGTGTAGTAAGTGGATAACTAAAAATTCTCTAATTAGTCTTATAAGAGAGGGGATCTAATTCTTACACCCAATAAAAACAAGTAAGATTGGATCTAATCTTTGCTATCGTTACTTTTTGCCCGAGCAATGCTGGGCTCATAGTGTAAAGTTGATTATTTGTCATTTTTTATTTTAAAATAATTTAAATACTGTGCATGAAATGCAGTTTGTTTCTATACCGCAATTACAATATTTAAAATATTTTTAACTAGTTTAATGTGAATAAATCTTAATTTTTTCATGCACTTCTTTTGTTGCAGATTGAAGAGCAATCTAGAGGAAAGAGATTTGAAGAAGAGATCAGAGCCGAACAAGAAGAAAAACGTAAACAAGAGGAGGAGAGAAGGCAACGTAAAGAAGCTTTTAAACACAAGGCACGATTTTTCGAGCAGGCTGCGGCATCTTGAATGTTTGTTGTTCCATTCTTTTTCCTTTTAGATGTGTATAAATGCCATTCGGAGTCGAAACTTATGCCGAATAATTCTTTCACAGTAGTTGTTAAATGTTAATTCTTAATTGAGAGTTTAATTGCTTGTTGAACAATTTACAGTCTTTAAGCCATATCGATTAATTTTTACATTTAAAATGAATAGTCCAGAAGGCATATCATCTTGCATGCAATGAAAGTATTAATGTTTGTCGTCACAGAGTCTATTAATTATTACTAGAAACAAAATTTTACGGTGTCAGTTATTTGATGTAAAGTAATATACTTGATGAAATGCAGTTAAGTTGTACAAGGTTGAGCGTTGAATTCCGTATTTGTGCCTTCCAGGCTTTGAATTTTATCCCGTCGAAATATCTCGTCCATGGAAACTGCCCAAGAATTGTCCTTAAGCAATAATTTGTTTATCTTTAATGAAAAAAAAAATGTAAAAATCTTCCATTTAGTAATTTTTATATATGTACAAATATTTCTATAATTATATATTATTTACACGAAGTACTTTATTTTCATTTTTTTTATATATATTCTGTACAGTACATTGTTGTTAGAGTATCTAATATTTGTGTATAGTGAAAATGCAGTATTTTTAAAATAATTTTTACACATTGACTTTAATACATTGACTTTAGATGATGACAAATTTGCTTGTCGCTAGTTAATGATTAAATTTTTGTATACACTTCTATGTTTTGTATTTGATATGTACACTTCTATATACAACATAATTCTATTAAAAAAAGTTTAACATTTCTATATTACAATAGTTAATGTATTAGAGGACAAATAAAAAATACATGTTGTACTTTTATAAAGACTCCAATTATTCAAATAAGGCACTTCTACTACTGCTAAGTAATAAAGAATTAAATCTACAAAACAATTTACAAAATAGCTGTGTAATGGGTAATGAAAAGCTTAGAAATAAGAATAAATTTTGTGAATTAATACAGAGTAAATAATGGTGACTAGATGGAATGCACAATTTTAACAAGTGAGATTGACTAAAACTTTAAGAACTACAAAAAAACTAAAGGCCAGTTTGCATCAAAAACTGGCAAACAAATTGAATGACATTTACAAAAATGTAGTAAGAACTGTACATTTCCTTATATATACAATGAGCATTTAATTTTTATACATAATTACATTCTGAAAATATCTAAATAGCTGCCAGTTTTTAATATTGTTCCTCTTCCTCTTCGCAGATCTGAATGGTAGGAACTTGATAGGGGTAATTAGCGAGTAGATAGACAACTGCTTCATAGACAGTCATCATGATTGCAGTATTTGGAATCTGACGTACTAACTGTGTTCCCAATCCTCTGTACAGGCCTTGGTATCCTTCCTCTTTAAAAACCAGAAATAATGTTTGAAAAAAGGAAATATATTTAGTTCCTTCTTGCCTTAATCTTGTTCTAACTACCTCTGGAAAATAAATAAATATGATTTATCAATCAGAATTTCATATCTTCAAAAAATTATAACTCATTTATATTAACCTAATAAAGCTAAAGTAAACTTTACTAAAATTTAAAACTGGCAAGATGAACTATGAATCCAATAAATGCTCAATCTGAATGTGGATACATGCCTGAAACTATAAGCTATTGTATGTCAGCATTCTTCAAAGCTAGTAAATTCAAGGTTTTAACCTGATGCTACTCGTGGTTGGATCTGTAACAATGTTACTCAAGGAATGGAGTGAGCACCGCACTCACTCACTCCATTTTCATATTCTTAATTCTGTCTTGAGAAATTTTACTTAGATGAATTTTCTGTTTCTATATTGAAATCTGATCAGATTGATGATGATTTCAGATTAAGTTCAACAAAAACAAATACGATATTATAATTTCTATTCAATTCTGAATCTGTTTAGTCTGAATTTTTAAAATGGCATTGTTTGCAGATTGCTATTATGTGGTATCTGCTGATCGGTACAGTAGGCTACATGTTAACACTTAGATGCTATTTTCCTATTCTTTTTTTGGGCAATATGCACACTTTCCTCTTCATACTGATGTTGCCTGTGGTGGATCTGATTACTTTCTTAAAGCTTTCAGGATTTTCATATGGAGATCCCCTCTCTTATTGTCTGTGAGGAAGGAGTCTACATTTTCTTCCTTAGACTCATCAAGCAATTTCAGAAACATTTCATCACAATTTATGATTGTGAAGTGATATTGTATATACATACTATTAGAATCATACCACTTTGAATGAATGCTACATTCTAATTTGTCCAACACAACCAAAACAATGACAGTATTGAAAGCATTAGCAATGACTATTATTTCCAATTCTGGTATCTTGTTGAAAGGGAAGGAAGGTAGACGAAAGTTTGGCCACAAAACTTCAAGAAGCCTGAGTTACAAGCATTTTAATACAAAAGGTGAGTGCAGTGCTCACCCTTGAGTAACAGCAGATAATTTACTATGATACTTCTATATTTTGAAGAGTATTATAAAGAATTATCTTACCTTATTCATCAAAATGTAAAACGACAAAGTTTTATTTCAAAACTCATACAAATATTTAATATTTAAATCATTAAAATACTATTTAAACATCTATTTATTTGTGATAATACAGATACAATTCTTTGCTTGTTTATATTAATAAAGATTTTGAAAAATAATTTTAACATTTTGAAATGAAAAAGGTGTTGCATGAAAATTAACAAGAGTGGAATTTATAAAAATTTAAAGATTAGAACTATACTATCTAAATTCCTACCAGTTCTCATTTAACAATAATTTAAATTATTACAAAAATACTTGAGTTTCAATTTTACTGTTTATAACAAATTCTATAAGATGGGAAATAAATTCTAGAAGTTATAAACATATTTCAATTAAACAAAATGACATGTATTATTATTAACTGAATTATATTTAGCCTTTGGTAAAATTAGTTTTATTATACATCATTTTACGAAATATTACAGTTTCAAAGGACCTATCAACAACGTTAAGTGAGGACTTGCTGCATTTAATATTTAAAATTCCTTAAAATTCATATTTACATCATCTGTTTATTATAATCACAAATCAGAATTAGTATGTGGTCAGAATGTATGTATAAGTTAAAGTATACTTATAAAACTTCACTTAACTATAACTGAAACTCATATATATATATATTTTACCTGAAGGTATTGTTATAAATCATAGTACTAAAGTCTGAAAATGTGCCATATTTACTAATTTTGTATTTTGCTATTAAACCACTATATTAATCAGTAATTTTAATGTTAAATATTTATTGTTTTACTGTTATTTTCTTAAGACAGTAGTATAAATTGTTTGCATTTCTTACTTTAGTTAAATGGATTAATTGCTAGAAATTATTGTAATAAAGATATAATAAAACAAAAAAAAACAGCCTTTTAATGCCAGAGTCAACAAAACTGTGATTTTTTTTTGTTTTATTACATCTTTATTACAATAATCATTATTTTTCACTAATTGTAGTTTTATTTATTTATCTCATGGTCATATTCATGACCTATTAAGAGTTAGAGTTAAAGTGAATGATAATTGGTTAACTTTTAACTCTTGATCCTTGGAAGTAAATATGGACATTAATGTTAAATATACTGGTAATAATAACCAACTGATGAGTCAAAGTGATTACAATAAGCAGATGTTATATGTATTAAATATATATGTATATATATTTTTTAATCTAGCATTCAAACTGAATATTTTACCATACATTTTATATTATTTCTTTAGAATATTCAAGCGTGCAACACAAATGATCCAACCAAAAGTTCAAAAAATAAATTTTCAAATTGTTTACAAAGTAGTATTATAGTATTTTTTTTAAACCAGTTTTAGGTAATAACAAATGAAAATTAAGGCATGTTAAGCAAAGAATATACTGTATAATCATATATAAATTGTCAATACTGAAAATAATTTTATCTTTTTCCATTGAAAGATTTACAACAATGAAATTACTGAAAATTATTTTTAGTTAAGAGAATTATTTATCTAGGTTTAAAAAGTAAAAATTAGATGACAAAAATAAATAAAATTTACCATGTGGATAAGCTAGGATTGAAGCACAAGTTTTAGATGTTGCACCTGCCAACATAAATTCCATAAAATCTCTTGTAGATTTATCTTTGTGACAATAATTGATATCTTCTCGACACTTCCTTAATTTTGCTTTTAAAAACTCGTATATCACAAAATGTATCATTGTTTCAGAGATACCAAAATAAGATGCAGTAATTCCTTTGTAAAATCCCCTAATTCCTTTGGATTTATAAACGTCTCGAATACACTGAAGTGTACTAGTTCGACCATATTCTCTATGGAGAAAAATTTTGCTAAATAAATATTTAATTTCAAATTTTAATAAATACTAATATTTTTTTCAGTTAAAATTATTTTATGTGATACAGTATATATTCATCTAGTACAAAAGACAAGACAAATATGTCTCAATAGTTTAAATCAGTGGTATGAAATAGTGGGACATGCTCCAAAGAAGGTGTAAAATTCATGGGGCTTAGAATTTTTTCCATTATAAATAAAATAATTGTATTTCTATTGAAAAGTGCAGATTGTCTAAAGAAAGAAAATATATGGAAAGTTTCATATTAGCATTTGCAGTAAAAAATGCATATTAATCTGAAAAGTTACAAATCTATAACACATTGATTACTTTTTCTACATTGATAATTTGATCATTCATCTGGAGTGGTCCATAATTAACAGGAGTGAAATTTCATACAAGACTGCTCATTAAAGGTATTTATTCTGATTATCTACTGTCAAAAACTGGAGATGATGACATCATCACAATAGTCAAAACAAAATCAAAATAGTCACTCTCATCACAATAGTCAAAAACTGGAGATGATGTCATCATCTCCAGTTTTTGACTATTGTGATGAGAGTGAAGATGACATCATCATGATGTCATCTTCACTCTCATCACAATAGCCAGATCAGAGAATAATTCATTACAGAGTTCATGGCTGTTTGTCATTGCAAATTTCCATGAATTTTCCAGTGCCCTAATATTGTTAATTTAAAACTTTTTCTTTACTTGTTCATAAACTAGCTATAATACAAAATTCTTTGTTTACATTTCTGTTAAAAGCTTAATTATCACTAAACATCACCAGTTTCACTTTGAAGTCAAAGGTAAATCAACACTATAATAATTAACTGCTTTTAACAATATGGTAAGTTATATACCAAAAGCTAACTGATGACCTGATGGCTGAGTGGTTAAACCAGGAGTTAACAAATATACACAACTGAAACCCAATATATTAAGCAAATATACATGTAAAAGATCGGGGCTAAATTTGGATATAATGATTATAAATTAGCCCGATCATTTACAGCAGTTGTTGGTGTATATTTGCTTAATATATCAGGTTTCAGTTTTATATATTTGTACATGTAACCCCCGTATAACACGGCACTTCTATAGCACGGATTTATTCTAACACGGTTCGAGAATTGGTACCATCCCCATATAACACGGTACTTTTATAGCACAGATTCACTCTGACACGGTTTGAGAAATAGGTAAAACCCTAGTACAACATGAAATGTAATAAATTTTTACATACTTAAGTACTAATAGTTCACGAAAATTATTATTTTCGTGAACTATTAGTACTTCAGTATGTAAATTTTCTTTTCTCATCTCCATACACATGGTCTATCGCAAAAATTGTTTCAATTTTGTCAGATCTCGACGCTTCTGCATCTGGTGTTGCCAGATGTTTTTCCCTTATTCCATAAGTGCTTAGCACCATATAAGGAAATTTATAAAGATCTTTTAACTAGAGGCAAGCAATCTAAAATTACATACTTTTTGCAAAAGGTAAGCATGAATCTGAAAATAATGCAGAAAAATGCTCAGAGGATAACAATAACTTGCCAAAAATAAAACGCTCTCGGTTAATATGCTTTTAGTGATGACAAAGAAAACATTGTTTAATTTATAATAATATGTATCACTTAAGAAAATTTTAATAAAGATATTTACCTTAATTATGAAAATATAGTAGCATGTTTTTTAATTTTTGGAATCTAACCCTCCTTTTCGTACTAGTTCTTTGTTTCGCATAACACAGCAATTTTTTGGAACGTAACTACTGTGTTATACGGGGGTTACCTGTATATCTATATCTTACTGGAGTTGCGATGGCTGACTGAGTGCCTTGAGTGGATGTTTCTGGCTGAGGGCGTGATTGCATCCCAGTCGACACTGTAATAACCATCGATGGTTATATCTTAAACTTATAGATACTGGAAGAGGAAATTGGACCGAAGGTCCACATAGTATAACTGGCAAGCATCTGCACGATAAGCAGGAATTGCAAGTTTGAGTCCAACTTTGAGCCAATTTTTTCTTCCAGGTTATCTAAATTAATTAATTAAATATTATAATTATTAATTTTAATATGAGATGGTGCCTAAAGCTTCACTCTAGTGCCAAATTCATTTCTAATTTATAATCATTATATCCAAATTTAGCCCAACCATTTACTGCAGTTGTGGGTGTATATTTCCAGGAGTTAACCTCTACTGTTTAAAATGATTAGAGCTGTTAAAGATAAGACTACCTTCAAAGAAAGTACAAGAAATATAGTTTTTTGGGCTCTACAATGGGATAAGAAGCACCCTGTTTAGCCAGTAAATCAGCACTTACATTGTCAGCAATATCCTCATGTCCTGGCACAAGAGAAAACCCAATGGGTATCCAGCTTATTGAGATGCAAAGAGCACTCCCAAACAAGTGCTGAAGTAACCTGACAAGAGTCCTTTAAGGCAGTGTGACTGTTAGAAACAATGTAGATAGTCTTATTAAAAAGACCACTCAGAAAAATACTGCAAGCATACCAAATAATAGCTAGAACTTCTACTTGAAACACAGTGGGAATATACCCATTGGGACAAAAAAAACTACCTGACTGTTGCCTACAAATGCCAGCTTTCATGATGCTATCAATTTTGGATCAATTTATATACCAGAGTATTCTGTGAATGAAAAGTCATCTACCCATACACCAGTTAAGGCAAGTAGGTAAGGAGATCAGACAGTGCCTATCAAACAAACTGAGATAACATTCTGGTAGAATCTATCAAAAAATGTCTTCCTTCATCATGTCTTTAATTAGAGTCTCTGTTAAGCCTGCATCAGTTCTGCACATAAGTCAGACCTATTTAAAGGTCTGATAAAGTACTGGAAAAGTACAAAGCAGAACAAAATTGTCTGCATTACCCTGGATGTACTGTACAACCCACAATTATTAAGATCTCCCAGGAGACCATCTTCAAGGGTAAAAGGACGCCACCTTGAGAGCAACCTTGCATTATGGATACTTACAGGTAGATTCCAAAAGGGAAATCACCATACTATGATGACATAGAATAAAGTCAATCCAGCAAGCAAGAGCTGGACTGATACCATGCTCAAGTGCAGCATATTTGATAGCCTCAAGAGATCTTATCAAAAACACCCTCAATGTCAAGAAATGCAACCACCTTGATATCTAAGGCTCTCAATCTGGAAGACCAAATTATGTAAGGCAGCCTCACAAAACTTGCAGGTTAATAGACAAACTTAATTAAGAAAATGGAGAGGAAACCTATTCAAACAAGTACTCTTCAGATGCCTATTAATATGCTTATCCAATGTCTATTAATATTAGGCTAATAGGTCTAAAAGCCTTGGTTTCAGAATAAGATTTCTTGCTGGATTCAAGAATGAAGATCACCAGACAGGTGGCACATAGCCTAATGCCAGACAGGCACAGTACAAATGTAAAAAAGAAATTACAATGATAATCCTTGCATTTCTGTAACATATGGTATCTCCACTATACTCCATCAGTTTTTGTAAGATGTTTCTGGTGTGATCTTTTGATTGTTATTCCAATTATGTCATTATGAAACTAGATTGATTGTAAAACATTTTCAATAAAAGATTGATGTTAAAATAAAATAATTCAGATTTATGGTTCAATCACAATTTTATTTTTGCTGTATTCTAAAACCTCCATTTTGCTGCTTACCATTTTGTTCCCAAAGAAGCCAATTAATTATTAACCTAGCCAAAAAGTAGCCTGATAATTTTGGCAAGATTGACTTAATTAATATCAGGTTATGAGTTGCTGTTTAAATAAATAAATATTTCATATTAAATTTTAGCATATTTAATCTCCTAAAACCTGTTTTTTATCTTAATATTTCAAAAATAAGATTATAAAGTTTCTAAATTATGTAAATAACAAATTATAATTTTTCAGCCAAAGAGAAAAAAATTTCACTAGACAAAAGCTAAATTCAATAGTTATGAATCTGAATATTTGTTTTTTTTAAAACAAATATTCAGATTTGTAAAATTTTTCCTAAAATTCTTCCTCAATTGATATAAATCTAAAGTTTAAATTGACAAAATGATTGGCATATTTTAAAATAAACTCTTATTTATATGAATATATTAAAATAAACTTTTCAAAAATTTGAAATATCAGAATTAAACAACAAAATATCAAAATAGATTAGATAGATAATTATATAACTTATGTCAAAATAGATAGATAATTATATAACTTATGTCAAAAATGTTAACACTATTTTAGTGTTAACATTTTTTACATAAGTTATATAATTATCTATCATCATTATAAACAATCTACCTAACTAAAAAAGTTGTTTAATATTAAATTAATTTATATAAAAAATAATAAAACTTTTTTAGAACTTAAAATCATAATTAATAAATTTAGAATAATAATTCTAAATTTTACAATAGATTATGTAAACCCAAACTATTTCAAATATAGAAAATATTTGTTACTCATATATAAATCAAAATTTTCAAATAACTGAAAAGCATGATACTGTACTAAGATTTCCCATAAAGATTGATAGTTGAATCTATCAGGACAGTTAAATAAAAATGCATTAAAATGTTGGTGGCCAAAATTTAAATAAAATAAAGCATATAAACTTCAAAACATTATTTCAGAGGTGGCCAACCATACTTGTTCTGAGACACACAGGTTAAGCTATCATCATCAGCTATAGCCAATCATGTGACAACATAATGTAACACTGATGTTAATGGTATCATAACAATATATCTATTATTTTTGAAAAAATATATAGTAATGTTATTTAAGCTTTCCACTCAAAATTCTCCAATGGTAAGTTAAGTTGCACATACTATATACCACTGACAATTTGAGAGCTTCATATGGTTTGTTTACCATGTTTTGTACATTGTTGTATTATTTTATGAATTAAGTAAATTTTATCTGTCATAGTTCATTAACTTACCTTTGGTCTAACTGCAATCTTGTTTTTATGAACCATATAGGACTAGTTAAAGTACATGATGTAAAACCTATAATTATAAGAAAAGTTATTTATTCTAAATTTGCTGTTTGAATTTAAATATTTAAAATCATTTATCTCTATGTAAACTAGATTTAATTTTTTGCCACTATGTAGAATGAACTAGAATTTGTTTTTTATTTGAAAAGATCTGCAAAGATTATAATGATTACATCTACATTTACATTACACAAAATTAACATTCAATTTTTAGTTTATTGGAATTCTGCATAAATATTTTTAGTTCAAAGAAATTTATTTGTAACTATTTCTTTCAGATATTTATAATCTTCCTAAAGTATATTTACAATCTTGTTCCAAAGCTCAAAGCTGAACTTTGAACTTTGACTGACAGAACAAAGACACAATACAAACCTTAAAATAAAATTTTTCTCAAATTGTGATTTGGGACAAAAAAAACTACCTGACTGTTGCCTACAAATGNACTTGTTCTGAGACACACAGGTTAAGCTATCATCATCAGCTATAGCCAATCATGTGACAACATAATGTAACACTGATGTTAATGGTATCATAACAATATATCTATTATTTTTGAAAAAATATATAGTAATGTTATTTAAGCTTTCCACTCAAAATTCTCCAATGGTAAGTTAAGTTGCACATACTATATACCACTGACAATTTGAGAGCTTCATATGGTTTGTTTACCATGTTTTGTACATTGTTGTATTATTTTATGAATTAAGTAAATTTTATCTGTCATAGTTCATTAACTTACCTTTGGTCTAACTGCAATCTTGTTTTTATGAACCATATAGGACTAGTTAAAGTACATGATGTAAAACCTATAATTATAAGAAAAGTTATTTATTCTAAATTTGCTGTTTGAATTTAAATATTTAAAATCATTTATCTCTATGTAAACTAGATTTAATTTTTTGCCACTATGTAGAATGAACTAGAATTTGTTTTTTATTTGAAAAGATCTGCAAAGATTATAATGATTACATCTACATTTACATTACACAAAATTAACATTCAATTTTTAGTTTATTGGAATTCTGCATAAATATTTTTAGTTCAAAGAAATTTATTTGTAACTATTTCTTTCAGATATTTATAATCTTCCTAAAGTATATTTACAATCTTGTTCCAAAGCTCAAAGCTGAACTTTGAACTTTGACTGACAGAACAAAGACACAATACAAACCTTAAAATAAAATTTTTCTCAAATTGTGATTTGGGACAAAAAAAATGACATTTGAATCTTACAAATACAAGATCTTAAAATCATCCTATATATATATATATCAAAATATGTTCATATATATTTTCACTTTAAAATATTATATGCTATTTTTGAAAATGTATCTTCAACATATAAAATAATTTTTTAATTTAATTTTTTGCCACAATTTACAACTAGATATGATAAATGTATTCTTCTACATTGTAATTCTTTTATAATTATTTGAATTTTGGTATTTGTTTTATTTTTATAATTTTTTTTCATAACTTGGAAATTTAAGCAGAGGAAGTTTCATTATGTTTTTCATGGTATACTTTTTTTAATTTATTAAATTCAGATTAATTTCATAATTTACTGTTGCTAGAAAATAACCAATGAAAAAATATTTTAGCAAATTTTTTCCAACACTCAAAAAATAAATAAATAATGGATAGTTTATAATAAAACCATTTAATAATGGAAAAAAAATAAATAAAAATTTACTATATATTTTCATATATAAAATATCCATTTCTCATACAGAGTTATAAAGGTATCAGATAAATTTTTTTACTTTAATCATTTCTCTATTCTACTTTTTAGCAGTCAATTGAATAATGGACTTTATCAATATGCTTAGTATTTTTCTTGGGTATAATGGACAGAACTGAATAAACTATAGTGAATTTGCTTTATAATGAGTGACTTCAGATGACCTTTCAAAAATAGAGGTTATATCAATTTTGGCAGCAAGATGCAGATTACATTATGCAATTTTATGCTTACACAAGAAATAGTTTTCAAAACTTGGAAAAAAATTATTCTTTAAGTAGTATAATTTCAATTTTAAAACTTAATTCAAAAAGTAAAGAAAAATCACTATTCTAAATTTGTAACAATAATCTGTGGGCTATCTGTGTTTCAAGGCAATCAATCAATCAATCTTTTTATTCTGTAGGTACATGAATTACAATGTGATGTATACACCAGTACTGTATAACATAACTGGCTTAGGAGGATATACACTACAATATAAAGGATTACTACATGTATAACAAGAAATAATTTATAAAAATAATACAGAACAAATTCAGGCAGATATATGTCATAAACCAAATGAGAATAAATGGGATATAGTTACAGTAGAACCTCGAAAACTCGGCTCTCGATAACCCGGCACTCCGGATAACTCGGCCACACCCTGGCAGGGCAAAAAAATCCTTAGTTAATTAATTTTCATTATAGACAGCTTTATAAAAGTATAAAAGCTCTCATAAAGTATTTTTCTGAGGTCTGTCTTATCAGGTAAATTACTGTACACAGTGTATTCATTAATTTTCATTTTCATGTAGTAAAGGCTCTATGCCTTCATAAAGGACGTACTTTTCCTTTGTTTAAGGGTATTTGGGCAGTTTATTCTCTGTTATATTCTCAAGTAAACAATACATACAAGTACAGTACAGTATTTTCTGAGGAAACACTCGTACTTATTTTTTTAAACCCCATTCCCGATAACCCGGCATTTTCACAAACTCGGCCACCCTTCGGTCCACATTAGGCCGAGTTTTCGAGGTTCTACTGTATTACAGAATTATGATGGGCATTACAATGAATGTTAATAAGATATACCATATTGTTTAAAAAAGAAGTTTGCAGGTTATGTGATATTTTTCCTTTGTCAATAGCAGCTTCAGAAAAAATCCTTTGAGCACATACATATGTCATTTTGACTTTTTCTCAATCCAGAAAAGACACACATGCATATAATGCCTTTAGTTCTCTCATTCATTTTCTGTTTGCTCAATCCATGCTTTGATTAATATTGTTGCACACATCCCTATTTGAATTTTTATCTTTATATGTAAAATTTTTTACAAAATTCTTAAAATTATATCATCATCAATCAATGATTTCTAATTCAATTTAATATTTATTTCTTTTAAATTTATTGCTGTTTATATCTTTAATGCATATATCTTTATTTTATTCCTTTAAAATAAATGTTATATAATATTCTATTAATCTACATTTAAATAGTTTCAAAATTTTCTTATTCTATGTTTAAATTATTTTAAAATTTGAATTCCTTTTATTTTTCTAGAATAATAATATTTATATTATATTCTCAATTTTAAAAAGTATTTGTTCAGTTCTTATGTAAAGATGGTTATGTATTAGGAAAAGTGCATGTAATTATTTAGTATTTTCTTCATTACATCTTTTAACAAAAAAAAAGTGTTTTACTCACATTAAAGCAGTTGGCATTTTATAATATGTAAAAAAAAAATTAAACATACTAGATTTGTTTTCAGCATAGCTTATTAAAATCAAATAAAAAGTACAAGATCTAGTATAAATGTATTAGCACTGACAATACTGTTTTCATTGTCTAAGACTTTTCAGGTCCAAGTATTTGGAATCTGCAAATCTAATGGCAATCAAAGAATCAAAGCAATATTGTTAAATTTTTATAACTCTTTAAGAATTCACTCGTGGTTGATTGTAAAAAAGTATTCGTTTCAAACTGCTGTAAATTACTGTGATGTCAACTGTCAAGAACAAACTGATTATTATTCAGACTGAATATTCAATTGGAAATTCAAAGTCTGAATTCTATACATGTTAGCATTCACAAAAATGTGTTGTAATATTTATAAACAATCACTTTATTTATAAATAATACAGATTGTATTTCCAAAACTTTATAGATGTTATAAAAACAAAACAATTTTAAACTTACTTCAACATTTGACTTTACATTGTAAATCATAAATAAAAATAATTAATATTAATTTGTTGTCTAATATTGATTAATTGTATATTCTAATTTTTGAACAAACATATTTTACAGACTTATACAAACTTTTCCTAAATACACAGATTTATTGACCATCATTAAAAAAAGGAAACTTTTTGACATTTTGGAAACTCACTATTAGCCTTGAGTAAAGATTACTAGATTCTACAAATGTGTATGCATTTTATTATTACTTGAATCTGTTATTGTATATTTGAAAAAATTATAATGGTTTTTCATATTTATGATGTATTGTAATTTATATAAATAAAATTATAAAATTATTTAATTCATTACTGAAATTATGTTACACAAACACACTGTATTTTTATTTTTATGAACAATAAATATTTTAATTAAGAAATTTTTTTAATGTTATGGCATATCTTTACCTCAAGGTTTCTTGATTGTTCTAAAAAATTTTTGACTCAATGTTTTGTAATAACCCTCTAAATTTCAGAGATTCTAACTATTTATAAAGTTGTTATATCAATGAAATACAATTACACTTATGGAAGAACAGTCAGGACATTATTTATTGGTCATTAAATCTTGGTGAGTGGCTAAATCAAGAGTTTCTATAAAGCAAGTCTTCTGTATTTTTGTTTTACAACATGAAATTTTACTGCTTTCTAAATTTAGTATACATTTATTATACCTACATTTAGATATAATCATTTATTATAAAGTTAAATAAAAAAAAGTAAGTTGTCTATGAAAATTTATTAAATTAAAAATTTAAAACTTACCAGCACATGCTGCTGAACAGAGATGTACTAAAGGAGTATCTGGTGTGAACTTGGAATTACAGAAGTTCTTTGTTTGAGAATAAGTGCAGAAATAAATGGCCCTAAAAAATAACAATAAGTTATTTTTATTTAATATATATATTTATCAGGGTGGTCTTTATTATATAGGCTAAAAGCAAAATTTGTAGTTTGCATAAAGGTATCTGCTGAACTTGTTCCATATTGAAGAAAATAATATTTCCAAAGTTTGCATAAATTTAGAGGTTGCTACCAAAGTTTGAATCATTAAATTTACTTTAAACAAAATACAAAGTAATATAATACTGAGAATTTAAAATTTATTCATCAAGACCAAGTATTGTCAAAAAATTTCAAAACATTGGCTGATACAAAATAGTCCAAATTTTTTTCCAAGATGCTATCCTGATCAATTGTCAGTCATTCTGGATTGTTCTTATTACCTTCATTTTGGAGAGATCAAATCATTTTGGCTTTTGTATCTATTGATACTCATATCAAGGAAACCAAATGCTAAGTAATTTGGCACTAGAGGTAGGCATTGCATACCATCTCTTGCTAAATTTAATAATTATAATTAAATTGATATTTTAATAATAATAATTATAATTATTAAATTTAGCAAGAGATGGTGCCTAATATCTTTCTCTAGCGCTAAATTACTTACTATTTAATTATTAATAGTAGTAGTAATATAACCCAATATAATCTGGCAGTCGTTTAGTTTTAATCGCTTAGACGTTTATATTTATAAAATGAAATTTTACCAAAATTATTTTTTTCATAATGGAACAGATTCAAAAAATGCACACATTCAACTTTCCAAATTTTAAAAATAAGGGCCATACTTTAATATATATATTTTAATAATTATATATATAATCATTAAAATAATTTATTTCAATGATTTATAATTTGCCTGTATATTTCAATTTATATAAAATTTTTGAATAAAGTTTAATTTTAATCACTCTAAATGATTTTAATTTTTCCTCTAAATGAAAGTGCATTTGTTTTATAAGAAGAAATATTTAAATTACAAAAAAAGTTAATTTGTTTAATTTAATGCATTTAATATATTGAAACCTTAATTTAATGAACTAATTCAGGCGAGAGGTGTCCATTNTTTACCCGCTGATGGAACTGTCTTTGCCTTCTTTGGTGGTGGCGAACTGTGGTGTTTCCATTGCTTCAACTGTTCTTTTGTTTTAGGAGTGTAGTAATGGATCCACGTTTCGTCAGTAATCACAAACCGACGCAAGAAATCCTGTGGGTTTTTCTGGTAGAAGCCCAAACACTTCTTTGATATCAAGGTGCGAACACGTTTTTGCTCAGCGGTCAGCAGATGCAGCACCCACCTTGCTGAAACCTTTGTCATACCCAAATTTTCGGTTAGGATGTGGTGCACTCGGTCGACAGAGATGCCTGTTGTCTCACGCGTTTTCAAACAGCGATCTGCTAATACCAAATTGTGAACTTTGTCGATATTTTCTTTAGTGACAGCAGTTGACCGCCATCCGCTGCGAGGGTCATTTTTCACACTCTCTCTGCCATAGTTAAAAAGGGCTGTCCATTTTTTCACAGTGGTGTAAAATGGAGCAGACTCTCCCAAAACTTCATCCATGTCAGCTTTGATTTGAGATGGGATAAAACCTTTTTTCGTCAGGTATTTTATGACCGCACGAGTCTCCGTCTTCTCCATTTTTGACAAAGCATATGCACACTTACTATTTGCTAAGCTGTCGTGGCAAAACTTTATGACAAATCAAGCGGAAATTGGTATCGTATCTCTAGCACAGATGGCTGAATTATTCCCGCCAAAAATAAAATTGATCGCAGCGCCGCATATAGGCAAGGCCGCGAACTTTCCGAACAGCCCTCGTATTGCCCTTCAATGGTCGAGCCGTTGATGCCAGCTAAAACACGCAAATATTTAACAAAAATATTATTAAAGTAGCCAAGATATAGCCAAATATTGTAATGCCACATCACTAGTGGACATTTGAAATTTGCCGACTAGAACGGTCGGTTAACTGATGTGACGGTTAATCGGGGATCAGATAATCGATTCTCTATTGTATTTCCTATTTATTCGTCTTCAGATGATGATATATTGAGATGCTCCCCATTGCTGTTATTGTGATATGAAGTTAAGAGTGCTGACTCTTGGATTTGAAAAAAACAACCTATTAATTTAATTTAATATAAAAAGCATTTTAAAATTAACAGGATGTTAATTTTCACATGACATATAGACTGGAAATTTTGTCTGTTAAATCAAGGTTTTACTATATTAAAAAAAAAATAATAATAATAATAAATCATCTAGTACACACTATTTTTCCCATTGTTTCAATATTTTATTTACTTTGTATTTAAACTGAATAAAAATCTATAATAAAATCTACTTATTAATCACTTTTATGTTCGTAAACATAAAACTTTGTAGGCACATACAATTCACTGTATTTTTGCATAAATTATTAATATTCAATTTTTAATGTTCTTTATGTAAGTTTTCACTATAAAAAACTTTCTTTCTATAGTGCTTACACTATTTTTACTGCTATTGTAACAATTAATTTAAATAATGATAACAAAGTAAACAATACATTTTGGGAGTAAATAATGTGTGACAAGATACTAGCTTTAGGTATCACCAAACTCCTCATTTTACTTTTTGCAAGAAAAGTTTTTCAAGTGCCTAGCTGGTATAATTATAATGCTTGTAGATTGTTAAGAACTGTTTATTTTTTTGAAACTAAAAATATAAATAATATATATATTTATCAGGGTGGTCTTTATTATATAGGCTAAAAGCAAAATTTGTAGTTTGCATAAAGGTATCTGCTGAACTTGTTCCATATTGAAGAAAATAATATTTCCAAAGTTTGCATAAATTTAGAGGTTGCTACCAAAGTTTGAATCATTAAATTTACTTTAAACAAAATACAAAGTAATATAATACTGAGAATTTAAAATTTATTCATCAAGACCAAGTATTGTCAAAAAATTTCAAAACATTGGCTGATACAAAATAGTCCAAATTTTTTTCCAAGATGCTATCCTGATCAATTGTCAGTCATTCTGGATTGTTCTTATTACCTTCATTTTGGAGAGATCAAATCATTTTGGCTTTTGTATCTATTGATACTCATATCAAGGAAACCAAATGCTAAGTAATTTGGCACTAGAGGTAGGCATTGCATACCATCTCTTGCTAAATTNCTGGTATAATTATAATGCTTGTAGATTGTTAAGAACAGTTTATTTTTTTTAAACTAAAAATATAAATAATATATATATTTATATTAGTTTTAAAGAAATATATGACAATTGGCAATAGTCAGCTTAACATTCTTAGCAGAATTATATCCATATAATTTTGCTATATAGAGATAGAGATCATTAAAGACAGGTTATATATCAACAGAAACCACAAGTTTTAGACACAAAAATAGCATTTATTCACCAATGAAGTTTCAGAAATTAAATAATAACAAATATCTCTGTCAATTCACCATTTGCAAGAACATTTTTGTCTTAAGAATAATGGATCATATTTTGAAAATTCTTTGAAAATGATTTTATTTGTATTTACATTTGATTTATTTATCAATTTTAATAATATATGACATTCATGTATTTGCTGATTTTATTCTGATCCTATATACTATATTTTGTTTGAATTACATATAGTCCAAGAATTCTATAGAGAATATAATAATATAATATCTAATCTAAATACAAACATAAACATCTTAACGAAAATCCAATACATTATAATAAAGCTACATCAATTGCTGTATGACATCAGGCTAAATAACAGCTATAATAATTATAAATTACTGAGATTACTATTATTGAATTAAATTATAATTATTAAATTTGATGCGAGATGATGCCTAACACCTCCCTCTAGGGTCAAATTTCTCAATAATTTAAAATTATTATAGCTGTTATTTAGTCCAATGTCATATGGCAGTTGGTGTAGCTTTATTAAATACTAGCAGACCCACCACGCGTTGTTGTGGCTCAAAATGTATCTATTATAAATGTATAACACTTCCCCCATGGGGGGAATTTTTCGAAAAATTTCTTCTTAGTGTACATTCTCTTGACGTACCCTATTAAAACGCAATCAAAAGCGCAAAAACCTGCATCTAAAATAGTATAATAGAAGCCAAGTTCTTCACGGTAAGCCTTAATCCTGTTCCTCTCCCCCGCGGGGGAAATATCGAAAAATCCCTTCTTAGTGTACATTCTGTTGACGTACCCTATTAAAACGCAATAAAAACCGCTAAAAACCACATCTAAAATAGTATAAATAGAAGCAGAGTTCTTTACGGTAAGCCTTAATCCTAACCATCTCCCTTCAGTGGGGGGAATTTTGACATGTATATTATATAAAAACACGTGCGTATTCGAATGCAGCGTTGTGTCAAAATTTCAAAGGAATCAGTAGGAACAAACAAACGTTACATTTTTATTTATATAGATAGATAGAAAATGATCTACTTTAGTTCATTTTCACAGAAAAGCATAATGCCTCACAGAAAAGCAAACTTAGGGTGTTGTACTCGTAGCGCCATCTGTTGGACGTAAAAGCCTTAACCTAGATTATATCTTTTAATTTATATGAATGTTTAACAGAATAATATACAGCCTATGTCCACCCTGAGGTTCCATTCTAAATATTGGCGAAAGAATTTTTGAAATCGGATGAGTAGTTTCGGAGATTACCCACTACATCCAAACTTACTTACAAACATTACCTCTTTATAATATTAGTATAGACAAACATTATGCAAAAAATTAAATCTCATTAATTTTCAAGGTGAATTATTATAAATAAACAATCTGACAGAATAAACTAAATATACTAATTAAAAATAAAAAACAAACTTACCTGGATGGGGCAACACCAACTAAATTAGGACCAAGACCTTTGAAAAGTGCTCTTGTGCCTTCAGTTTCTACAATGTGCCTGTGTAATATTACAGTTATTATTTGTAATGTTGATAAAACTTTAAATTTACCAGAATGTAAATTATGTAAAATATAACCTATTAAGAAAACAATAATTATTTTCAGTTTCATTTCTAAAATAAATATTTTTTATTATAATATTTAAGAAGTCTTATCAAGAGATATTACTAATCAATAATAAAAAATAAATATAATAAAATTTCTTAATAAGAAAAAACCTTGTACATTTAAATTGAAAAAAATTTTCGTACAGGTTTGTGTTTTTGTCTTCATTTTAGATAAATAATATATAACTAAAAAGTGGCAAAACCATTTAGCAAAATTTGAATTTATGACATAATAGCACAAAATTTCAGTTGGAAATACATTAGATATTATCTCTAACAAAAAATCTGGCTTGTGAGTTTTGAGTAAGTCATGAGAAATTGTCGTTAATTCTTCATTAATTTGGCTGTATTCAGATCTTTCTATTACGAAATTCTTTTAGGTCACTAAGAATTTTGTGAGAACCTGGGCTAGTGTAAATTATTTAATTAGTAAAAACCCAATTTAATTTTATAATTTTTGTTTTGTCAAAAACCCATAAAGGAGAAAAGTTCCTTGTCACAGATCCAGTCAAGGAACTCTATAAACTTTTCCCATGGATAGTACTTCCTCCGTGAGTGACATAGCTTTGGAATTACTCATTGAGGGAAATAGAGACAAAATCACAGATTGGAACAATCAGCAACTTCACCAAAAATGGGCATTAGAATGGCCAGGGAAAGGACCACAAATAAAAATCAGAAAGACAGATGATGACAGAGAGTTCACCTGTCAAAATTCATGTGTGCTTATCCCTGCCATGCTCCACCACCTCCAGCTGTTGACTGGACCTCAGTCACTCTAAACTAACAAGCAAAAAATTTACAGAAAACTGACTTCTCATTTCTAATTCTTGCACTTCTTCTGGCATTGTAAAGAATATCTGTTAAGTAACTCACTGATATCCTGACCTTCAATGTTTTGGAAACCAATATTGTGTGCCATGTTTGTAATTTCTTCTAACACTTCTATCGCCGATTTTCTGCTAGCAAGTCCAAAACAGCATGTAATCACAATTTTCTCTAAATGTCATTCATCGAAATGTCATTCATACATACATGGCTAGCATCTTTCTAGGAATATGTGATGATGATATGAAAATGTGAAAGGTCTTTTAGTACTCCTTCACTGTTACTGCTGTATCAATTGCCTCTTTAATACATTTAAAGGTCTTACAGCTAGTATGCCTTAAACATTGCAAATATGCCTTAGTCCATTGGTTGAAGAATCAATGTTGAGTTTAGCAGTAAAAATAAATAACTGATGTTTAACTGACTATTAGAGATGTCCTGAAGATTAGGTCAGAGCATTATCCATGACCAATAAAACTTTCTTAGGGAAATTATTAATTTCACAAAACTTGGAAACTACTGGACAAAAGAGTTGGATGTACCATTCAGCAACAATAGTTTGTGTAACTCATGCCTTTTTATTGTGATAAAAACATTGAAAGAAGTACTTTCATAATCTTTTTCATTACTCTAAATGATACACCAACACCAGCATTAGTTTCAATACCCAGATGGACTGTCTTACAAAAGCAAAGTTAAGCATCTTTTGAGGTCTTAAAACCAGGAAGTCTTTCTTTATTGTTGAAGGACTTGGATAGATGGCATCTTTTTCCAATACAATCCTGTTTCATTCATATTAAAAACTAAATCAGTAGACTATTTGTCTATATTTATAAGTTTTTAGAATTCAGCCAGATATTTGTTGGCTACTGTAATATCAGCACTTGCATCTTTTCCAGATACTTTAATGTTATGAATTTTTGAGTGGAAGTTAAATCTAAAAATCATTCTTTACCAGCAACAAATGATTTATTACTACCTACTTTTCCTAATTTCATCAAGCAAAGACAGGTTTATTTATCTATTTTGATCATTTGAGTAACAAGAACTCATTAAATAATCGATCCATAAAGTCAAAACTTAGTCCATCTTTTCCAAATACACACTCCTTTCATATATAATATTTCATACCAAAACAAAAGGCATAGTTTGATGAGAATGCTTAACTTTTTCTGCATTATACATAATTTAACTGTTGAAGCTGTAAGCCTAAAACTTCAGAAGCATCTACAAGCTACTATCCATCCTCCATGTGACAAATCACCATCTTTTCATCAATTGTAACCATTTTACACAACTTTTTATTACTTTCAGCTCCAAATTCTAATGTATGCTTTGGTCTAATAATTAAACAAAATGCAAAAAACATTTATGTTTACCAATGTTAAATATTTTACTACATAAAAACAATGTCCTTAAAACTTGACATTTTAGCTAAAAACTGATTTACTAATTTCTGTGATTCACACCACTTTCCCTGACTGCAACATTCTTGCACCCACAAAACATTGCAAGTGCTAGGCTGTCTTGATGATGATAGTCTACCACCATACAGAAATAATTTTAAAATGTTGTAAATCAAGGATTACCTGTATATGAAAACATTCCTTCTTCTTTTCATAGCTAGTTCTTATTTGACATTAGAATGCAATTCTTTGATTACACAATAAAACAAAAATTAAACATAAAAATTAAATTCAGTGTATTCAATAAGTTTTTCCTCTATTACATTCAAAAAGAATGTACTAGAGGAAAAAACTTATTGAAAAGATTAAAAAGCTAGATTAAACAAATAATAATAAAATTACTCTTATTATTTTGTTTATTTTTCATTATTGTCTATTATTATTGTTCAAAAAAAATTTTTTTAACCTATGCTTTTAGAGGATCTCTTTTCAAACCAATCACGAATGTGGTCAATCTCATAATGGATTCAACAGCCGAGTGATGAAGAACAGGACCCAATGTATCTAGTTCAACTCATTCATGAACATTTCTGAGTTAGTCTGGACTAAAACTCTGAGCAAAACAGCTGGTGTATTTACTGTCTTTGCTATTAAGTCATCAAGAACAGGTTTGTAAAAAGTACATTCCAACTGAACATTTCACCAAAGCTAAGTGGATAAAGCCATTGAACACTGGTAATTGATCAAGGGTTTGTGTCTTGCATAAAAAAGACTAAGTAAAGTTTTCCAAGTTTTCTTCACTGATCTAACACGTAATAAAAGCCAGTTTCCCAGAGAAAATCTTTCAGGAGGCACCTCTCTTTGCAGATCATCCAAGTGTTGCAATACTTTAATGATCTGAATTTAAATCTGAATCATAAAAATGAGAATTGTCAATTGTAAGGTAAATTTTTGATCAAAATCAGAATTACTGATCATTATATAAATATATTACTATTTCTTTTCTGACCATAATTATATAAATATATTACTATTTCTTTTCTGACCATTTTTACAAACACAAATCAAGCAAATTGTTAGGAAAGTAGAAATAATTAAATAGCATTGTATGATTCCTTTATTTACATTATAGTATTTTAATTATTCAAATTAAATCATAGAAGTCTAAAAATTAAATACCTGATTAAAATAATTACTGCAATTACAAATATTAACGATCACAACTAATTTAAAATTTACCTAAGACATCTCCAAATTCCAAATGATCTTTTTTCTGATGTTAATGGCACAATTCTTTCAGAACAATGAAAATCTCTTGGAGCACAAGCACAAAATTGGTATTTCTGATGAGATAATGATGTTTGAGAAAAATTAAAATTTGCAACAGATGATTGCAGCCTGGTTTTCACAACTTCTAAGGGACAAGTAGCAATAGCACCTGCAGTTCCTCCCAAACTAATAAAATAAAAGAATTTTTAATGTTTAATTTTAATAATAATAGTATATATAATTGTATTATCAAATCATACATATATTATTCATTATTCTTACATTTTTACATTAGGTATTTGCAAAATAATCTTTAATTTCACCATTAAAACACCCACATTACCTCATTTACTTTTATACCCATCTTCCAAAACAATCTTCAAAATAACAGGAAATAGAAAATTACAATACATTTAAATATAACATGTCAAATTATCTAGGTGGCTTTAACTAGGTTATTGTGACACACAACAATACAGCATCATGTAGCTGAAGTTTTATATATATATATCCAATGAGAGAAAGCAGATTCACTTATTCTGCTAAACTATACAGAAATTTTAACACCGGAATAGATAAATTACCCAACTTCACTGCCTGTAACCGGTATTCTTCTTCTCCAATACAGAGGACTTTGCAAACGTTTTCGAACCTAATGTGGTTCTTCTTCAGACGCTATGGAATTTCCTATATGAATTTGAATTTCCAGAATTAAATTTTCCAAAACATCGGTTAATTCTGGAAATTTGAATTCATATAGGAAATTCCATAGTGCCTGAAGAAGAACCACATTAGGTTCGAAAACGTTTGCAAAGTCCTCTGTATTGGAGAAGAAGAACGCCAGTTACAGGCAGTGAAGTTGGGTAATTCACTTATTCTGCTATCTACAAAATGATTCTTAAGAAAATTATCAGTTAAGTTTTGGAACCAAGTTTAACTAATTTTAAATTTTTATTATAAATTAGAAATTACACATTTTTCACAAAAATTCTTTTACAAAAGTTCTCAAAAGTGAAATTGCAACACCACAAAGCAATGCACATATCCACATGCAATTTGCAGGATTACAGGATTGACAGAGATATGCAAATGATTAAATTAAAAGAACAAGTAAAAATATGCAACAGACATCTGTTTATTCAGTAAAAAATATGGCTCCCACAGGTAGCTATACATACTGCTATAAAGCAAGGCATACTATCAATGAGGCAACTAATGTTCATGAGGTATTCCTTGCCAAGCTGCATCAACTGTGGTGTGCATGTCATCTATGGTATATGGTGGTGGTTGTTCCTAATGCATCTCATGTCAGACGAGGTCCCACAAGTGTTCGATGGGAGAGAGATCTGGTGAGGCTGATAGCAAGGGAAGGATGTGAATTCCATTCTGGCTGGTGAAAGTTTGCCATGCAACATGAAGTAGGGCATTGTCTTGCTGAAATATCATGTCAGATGCAGCCTGCACCAGTGGCTGAACAGCCGGCTCCACAGTTCATGCAATGCACTGGTCCACTGTCAAAGTAGTAGAAAAGTGCACCAGGGCTAGCCACTGATTGAACATGATGCTTACGCAAATCATGATGCCTAGTATGGAGCCAGTGTGACACTCGGTATAAAGGTCTAGCACACAGAATTCCCCAGGATACTGCCACACCTATTCATGGCTGACATTCCTCCACAGAAGTAGTATTCATCTGTAAATATCTGATGTTATTCAGTGGTCCAGTTTCAATGACAACAGCATCACACCATGCATGCAATCTGTTGCATATAGTTTAGGTAGACACAGATACAGTCTTTGATAACAGGCAGCTTCAGACGCCAAATGCCATTGCAAACAAGTCCCATTCGGCAAGTCTGCTGGTCTGTGCACTCTGTTGTGTGCCAGTGTAATCCACTCCCTCTTCAGCATGTTTACAAATGTTCCCATATCCATCATGTCACACATCACTATAGAGTACTCATGTCACGCCAAACACACTTGCTGATGTGTGCATCAACAAATTGAGGTCGAGCAGCTCCAGAACACAGTCTCATTCCCTGTAGAATACAAGATGATATTCAGCTCACTGTTGTCTTTGAGGTATTTTGTATGCTTCTTTAAAGTTTGGCTGCTATGAACAGTCATTGATAACATTTATGGACTGAGCTGACTGTTAGTCTTTATAGCCCAAAACTGGATACCATATGACCTGATGTGTACACAAATTTAATCATTTGCATATCTCTGTTACCTCTACCTTGCAATTTGCATTTGGCTACATGCATTCCTTCATGGTGTTGCAAGTTCACTTCTGCAGAAGTATATAATCTGTATTTATTGAAAATAAATAAATGACAAATTATATAAACTTGACAATACTAGGAACATGCAGTCCTTTTCAAAAGAATATTTATAAAAGAATTTTTTAAAATATTCTCTTTGTAATTTGTGAGCTTATAATTTTATAATTATAATTTAATTCTTAATATTTGCAATTTGTAAATATTACATTATTTAAAAAGATATTCACTTAATCTATTTGAATATAAAGACTGAGGATAGTAATATACTTAACCAAAAATAAATTTGTTTTTGGAAATAAAGTTACTTACATGCTTTTGTCAAAATTAAAGTTAAAATTCAGTTCTTAGATCATAGTTTTAGGTATGATTAAATACAGGCAGATTAAATATTATATTATAAAGTATTTAAGAATCAATTTATTACAATAATTTTGTTTTTTCATCTATGGATAATATGTAATGTTAAGATAAATATAGAGTGATATGGCATGATCTATGGCAAAATTATAATATGAATAATCCAAAAATTTTCATATGTACAAAAAATTTGCATTAATAATGTTAAGATTAAGAAAATTTAATCTTACATTAGTATCTTAACTTATTTCTTATATCAATATTCTTGCTTTTTAAAATTTGTTTGAATTCTACCTTAAACTCTTTAGTCATTCTTTGTACAATAACGTTCATTTAATTTTCAATAGACCTAAAGTATAGATACTACTTTTCAATTTAACAATTAGAATTAGTGATCAGATTTGCACAAGAAGTAAAGTTAATTGTTTATATCCAAACCACTATTAATTAATGATCTTAAAAATCATATTAAAGAATTTTTTGGTCAACAAATAGTTCATTGCAGTTACATCATAATGTTCGTTCAAAGTATTACGTACAGTACCTTTCAATCCTAAATAAAACTTTTCCATGGAAATTACAATGACACATGATTTGAACTTTGTAATATTGAAACTGTTTTCATTAATAATTAAACAATATTTTAAACTTTAACACTGAAACTAGACTGGTAGTGAGTCAAAAATATTCTGATATGAAGTAAAGTTTCTAAATGAACTTGAACACTGATAAAGCAGAAAGCTGTAAGTAATTTTACTAAACCAAAAATACTTGAAATTCTTTCCAAATCAAACTGAAAATGCTGTGATTTGGAAAGAAATCAATTTGAACATTTGAAGATTGATATGGTTTCTTATAATATAAAATTGGACATTTCTTGTTTTTATATAATCTCACCAATCCATATTAACTAATGCAAGTCCTAAAAACAAAGTTAAAATGTTAGATTATTTGTATTAAATTCCAATTTTCAATACAAAAATTACTTAAATAAAATTTTAAGTTTAATAAGCTTATTTTAAATTAATACCAACTTATTTATATTTTTTTAACCAAGGGAACTGTTGTTTTTGTTTGATAAGTAACATTTGATTAGCAAGAAAAAGTCTAAAAATAAGTCTTCTACACCTTTTGGTTTAGTGAAAGTATATTGTATTTCATTTCTTCTTATTAGTGAGTTACTTTTTTTCATCTATTCTCATTATATCTCTTCTATTTTTAAAATTACTTAAGTTATTTTTTATACAAAAAAATGATTAAAGCATTTAATTTTAAAATTTTTAATTATTATATATTATATACATAATAAAATTAGCATTATGAAATATAAAAATATCCATTCATTTCTACACTATACAACTGAACATTCCAACTCCACCCCAAAACAAGCATGTTTATTATTGATCTTCTGGATTTAGATTTTCTTTTATGCATAATTTCTTTTAAGATAGACTATTTAAAGCTTAACTTTTAATTTTCTAACCATAAAATGAATAAAGATATAATTTTTTAATTCATTTTGATACTGGCTGTAGACTGAAAACTTATACACTTTTATTTTTTGGATTTACATAATCATATTTCTATACAAATGTATGCATGAACAGAATGTGATAAGCATGCAAATATCATGAAGATATAAAAATAATCACATTATTAATGCAATAAGAGAAGTTACAGCTCATTATTACGCTGAAAAGTAGCAAAGAACACTAACATTAAAAAAAAATCATACAGATAAACTCATAGCATAAAAATGCTTGAAATATAATTTATGAGAGAGAAAACCACACCCTATATTCAACAAAGCAAATGACTAAAACAATGAATTGTTTATTTAAGATCAATTAGTCCTATATATTTTAAACATAATTGCATAACATATAAATTTATTTATCTACTCATAGTACTGTTTATACACTGCTATTTCAAACAGTAATACAATATGTATATTATTATATAAACCAGTTATTTCTATATCCAAAGGTCACTTAATGATCACAAAAAGATAATCATGAAAATAAAAAATAGTATTGAATATAAATGTTTTGGAGTACTTCTAATAATTCTGAAACCATAAACTTATTGATATTAATAACATTAACATTCTATAAAATTCTTTTGGATGCTGAATGTTGTCCAAGGATCACTAGTTGAATAATAATAGGTTGACGCAAAGTTTATAAAATTTTCTAGAGTTTTACAGTACAACATGTATTTAAAAAGTAAAAAATAGTTTTTATTATTAACAAGTCCCATTCGGCAAGTCTGCTGGTCTGTGCACTCTGTTGTGTGCCAGTGTAATCCACTCCCTCTTCAGCATGTTTACAAATGTTCCCATATCCATCATGTCACACATCACTATAGAGTACTCATGTCACGCCAAACACACTTGCTGATGTGTGCATCAACAAATTGAGGTCGAGCAGCTCCAGAACACAGTCTCATTCCCTGTAGAATACAAGATGATATTCAGCTCACTGTTGTCTTTGAGGTATTTTGTATGCTTCTTTAAAGTTTGGCTGCTATGAACAGTCATTGATA